TTCAACTTCATTCATTCATATATTCAACAACTAGTTATGTGTAGAGAGTCATTAAGGACAGTAAAAGTATGAAAAGGAGAAACTAGGGACACAATAAGTTTACAAACTACTCAAATCTGGTTAGAGTTGGTCTTATTTACTGTCAATTGGTTAAGGGCAAATAAAAAGCTATGGCAGACCATGTCTTTGTCCTGGGCAGCTGCACACATGAGCAGCTTAAGTGGAACTTTGCCACACTGCCACTGGCCTTTATGATACATGCCAACAGTGCTGCACACAATTAGAGGTTATGGCTATTTGTTTAACCTATGAGGAACCTTTGTTCCTACATGTGTTTCGTTAAGCTGGACTTTGCAAATTACTTCCATTTCACTCATGTTAACATTATGTGGTTTGGTAAGTAAAAAGCAACAGAGACAAGACAAGATCTTTGCTCTTAAAATTCATAAAGGGCTTCTTTGAAAATTGTTGACATCCCCATACTTCAAGGGTCACAGCCCAAATGCACTCATCATAAATTATAGGACGTTAACCCACTTTTTCATTGTCGTTAGAAGTGACGGAAATTTTCGAGAGCTTCAATAGTTAAATTAGCAAAGAAAAACAGAAGTAGGATCTATATTTACTAAAGAACACCTACCCCCTCATTTTATCATTGTTGCTAGTTATATCATAATGGTAACACTAAGCACAATAGCTAAAATGTATTTAGAACTTCTACATATCAGCCATGGAGCTTTAAATATATTAACATTTAATTTAATCCCCAAACATGAAAGCAGGGACCATACTTTGTGCACATCTGTAACCTTGAGAACAGCATAGATGCAGGACAATAAATGGTAAATATTTATTAAAAGAATCACTCTAGGCTAGGTGAGGTGGCTCACACCTATAATCCGGCACTTTGGGAGGCTGAGGTGGAAGGATTGCTCGAAGCCAGAAGTTCAAAACCAGCCTGGGTGACAAAATAAGACTACACACACACACACACACACACACACACACACAATTAATTAGCCAGGAGTAGTGGCACATGCCTGTAGCCCCAACTACATGTGAAGCTGAAGTAGAAGGATCACTCGAGCACAGGAGTTCAAGGCTGCAGTGAGCTATGATCACACCAATACACTCCAGCCTGGGTGACAGAGCAATACTCATCTCTTAAAAGAAAAAAAAAATATGCAAACAAATGGGACGAGGGGACAATACATGTAGTGTTCAAAGCAACCATCTTTAGGTAATTCAGTTTTTAAGAACCATAAATTGAATACCATACTCTGATAAATTTCATACTAAATATATAGAGTAATGAACACAATACAGCTGAAAGCAACCTCCAAGGAGACTTCATTCCTTGCAAGGTTGTAGAAAATGAATGATGAGCTCCTGATACTATGGTTGGCTCCCAATAAATGGTTAATGTTGTTATTCTGTTACCTTTTTATGAGTGAAGAAATTTATAAGTAGTATTTTTGTTTTAGGAACTTAAGAAAAAATCAAGACTATTTTAATACTTTGCATTCTGTGGAAAATATTACCAAAAAATCAGTATATTGGGGCAAACTGGACTTTGTATGATAATAACAGGTTACTTCAAAAGATAAACACAGTAGAAGTAAAACAAAATGCAACAATACTCATATGTAGATAGATAGCTTTAAACATTATTGATAAAGGGTATGACATATAGCAACATAAGAGAATTCAAATTAACTTTAAAAAGACATGGGACGTGTAGAGTAAACGGTTAGAATTATGATCACTGAATTTTGACACACACATCAAGTTATAAAGCCCACAGGACACTCTATGGCATCAGTCATACCAGCTGGATGTCACAACGTGCCCTGCCCCTTCTCCCTGCTTTGTTTTTCCCCGTAACACTAATCACTGCCTCACGTCCTATTTTGCTTATTTGTTTCTTACATCACTCCTGACTAGAACATAAACTCTGTGAGGGCAAAGATTTCCACCTGTTTTACTCAATGCTGAATCACCAGTTCTGAGTGCCTGAGACACAGATGGTCGTCAATATTTATTTGTGAATTAAATAAATGAAGGCAGAAATTGAGGTCCAAAGAAACTAAGTACCTTGTATGTAGCGGGTAACTGTTGAACCAGTTAAGCTGTGCCAGCACTTTTAAACTCTCATCTGGGGCTCTTTTCAATTCCCTAAACTGTTTTTTCCTTTGAAACCTTCATCTGCCTTTCCTTTATTTATTTATTTATTTATTTGAGACAGATTTGCTCTGCAGACCAGGCTGGAGTACAGTGGCGTGATCTCAGCTACACTTCGGGCTCAGACAATCCTCTGGGACCACAGGCATGTGCCACCATGCCTAGTTAATTTTAATTTTTATTTTTGTACAGATGAGGTCTCACTATGTTGCCCAGGCTGGTTTCAAACTACTGAGCCCAATCAATCCGCCCACCTTGGCCTCCCAGGCTGCTGGGATTACAGGTGTGAGCCACCGTACCAGGCCAACTTTATTACCAACAGTGAGAGGGATGGAGCTATACATCTAAACTGTGTGATAATCTATAACCATTATTTGAGGGTTTCTAGCTTGCTCCTAGAACTCCCATTACATAGGAAAAATAGGTGTTTTTTTCCCCCAAATTCCACAATTTCTCCAAGATTCTGTATAGGAAAAATTATTAGCTCATGAACAGCTAAACATAATGCCATTGGCCTGAATCTGACTTGTAAAGTACTTTAAAGATAGACTAAACTCTAAGCAGCCTAGTTTCAAATCAGTTGAATTCTTAATAGTGTAATATCTTCTTTAAAAGTAAGCACTGGGCTAAGCCAGCTCCCTGTTGAAGGAACTGAGAGTGAACAAACAGAAGTCAACATGTAGGTTACCCTTAAATGGAAGAATGAGAAGGGAAGTAATGAAGGGAGCCACAAGAAGAAAACAACAATGATAATCAGAACTGTGGGGCTTTTTCCTATGGAAATATATTTTGGAACCTGTAACTTTTTACTAAACAACTATTCACCAAGTGTGAGAGAAGAACACAGACATTTTCAGATATGCAAGGGATCGAACAATTTACCACATACCCAGAGTAGGATGAATTCTGGAGACTCCTGAAAACTAAGAGAGCAAGCCAAGAAAGGAAAATATGGGATAAAGGAAACAGTGGGTCCAACTTAAGAGAGCAGCCAAGAGAATGTCTTTGGCTGACAGTATCCAGCAAACCTAGATAGCAATCAGCTTAGATTGGGGCAAAAGGATGAAGGGTCTTAGAGGGAAGTCTCTCAAGGACAAGTACATTTGACAGAAAAAATAACATGGTCAAGTTTGAAATAAAATGATGTCGCCATAAAGCTAAGGCACAAGAACAAAGGAAAGGTGATTAGAAACTCCAAGGGAACACAAATTGCATATAAGAAAGAAAATATAATCATAGATTGATTGACTCCATGTGAATATTTAGTAGCAATAAACATTTTTAGAACTTTAGAGTTACCCAAGACACAAAACAAAAATTTAATTATGGTTATAACTGAAATGGATATAAAAGCTGTAAGTCTTAAAAAAGTAAAAACTTCAGAGTTTGTGAAGCGGGAGAGGAAAGGACAGCTAAAGGCAGATTACAGAGAGTGATACTGTCATCTGATGAAGTGGGGAGTCAAAAGAGACTACAGTTGATGAAGGAAGAAATAAAGGTGTAATAATATTATCTGTAAAAGATAGCTGTAGGCCTAATCCCCTGATTCCAGATGTGGGTCAATATACAATAGATAAATTAATATAACCGTATCTAGAAGATGAAGAAAAATAATGTCTGAAATAGACAAATCAAGAAAAAAGGTGAGTTAAAAGTGGTTATATATGGAGATCAGGATTGGGGATGAGGGTAAGTGGGATAGAAGATAGCTTCTTGCTATAAGCTTTTTGTAATATTTAATTCTCTGTAACCAATGGTTAGTATTACTTTAATGGAAATAAATTCAAGTAGAGGGAGAGAATAGGTTCATGACTTAGTCAAGTCCCAAATTCTTTTGCCTATTAGAAAATTCCAAATCCTTGTTGTCCTGTAACTATAAGTGTACTTTCTGAAATTACTAATGAAGGGGGAAATTTGTAATTGTTACCCTATTTCTTAAAAAGATACAACTACAGATTACAAATTCAATTTTTTAAACCTAAAAGGCAATGAGGTAGGATGAAAGTAAGAAAATACAAATTTATTTTTTGGAATTGTAAACTCAAAATTAATGAGCTATAATACCTTAGCTGCTTATAGGTTCTTCCTGTGCTGATAACAATTCAGAAGTGAACAAAAAAAGAAAATTACAAAGTTAATATCCCTTGCCTTCTCTCAACTTCAAGATTTTTGGCAGCTAGAGTTTCACATTGTTAGGCAGAAAGGTTTAACACAAGCATCTGGGATTCATTCATGTCAACTATTGCTCTTTAAAAAAGAATTTTTTTTAATTTAAAATATTAACCTTCCTTTAAAGACTATTTCAGAAGAAATAACTGTCCATTCCTCATATTCCCCGCCAAAACTCCATTTCAAAGTTTCAGCCTGCCCTAAGAAATTGAAAAGGAACTCCCTTCCTACATCCTAAATGTCTCTTCATTCTATATCAAAAAGCTTCAGGACAGTCCCCAGGGTGAACAGCAACTCCTGGATCCTCAAAACTACTTCCAGATGTGAGACCTCAAGGTAGACTAGCAGATCCAGGCTTCCAACGCTTTTCCAGATGACAGCCTCCAGAAAGATGAGTGTGGCGAGACCTAGTCCCCTGATTCCAGACATGGGCCAAAGAGCACATGAATAAATTGAAATATCTCTCCCTACCACATGGAATTCCCTAAGGGAGAAAGCCTTCTGATGCCTTTCCAACAACAGGTCACATTAAGCCTCCAGAGATCTAAGTCTCCATAGATCAAAGTGTTATTGTTCTGTCTCTTACCCCTTTTTTCTCTCTTCCTGTTTTCCATCTTCAATCACAAAACAAAACGCACACCATTCCTCACCTGGGTTAAATTGCATAACTCTGGGCACACTTTGGGGATTAGGTTATTTTGAAGGGCTAGAGTCTTCAGGCCAGGCAGTTTTCCTAATGCTGAGGGCATCTTTGTTATCTTCTTCCCATTCAAAGTAATGATCTTAGTGTTTTTACCACCACTCAATGCTTTTATTAACAATCTCTCAGTCATGATCTTGGAAAAGAAGCAGAAAACAAAGAAGGTAACCATTAGAGATTAGAGTTCTTTATTATAAAGCTATAGAACCTCTAATTACAGAATTGGTGTATCATAGAAACAAGAACATTCTGAGATCTACCATGTTGAAGGGACTATGTGAAAGATAGGGAGGGAAGGTAGCTGGTCCAGGTTTGTGGCAGAAAATGTATAAGGTAAGCCTAAGACAGCTTATGCCTGCAATGTTGAAGTTGTCAGAGATTAATGAGGACATAGAAGTGAACTTCTAGGAACTCCCAGTAGTCTAAGATGGAAAATACTAAGGATCAGAAAAAAATAATCTAGAGTAGACTGAAACACACCAAAACACATTAAAATCTGAGTTTGTAATGGCATTTTTAAAAAAGAAACATTAATCACACTAGGATTTACTATGGCACCAACTCTGCCTGAACATCGAAAAAGAAAAAAATGTAAGCATTTATTCTGCTCTCCCAGTACAAACTGCATTTCAGTATAACTTAATAGTTAATAAAATTCTTATTCATGAGAATAGAAATGAATGAGACAGAAAAAAATAACTTTAGAATAATCACAATTTTTGCAAATTCTAATAAAATGATGGGGCTATGCAAAAATCATAATTGGAGACTAAAAGTAATAGATGAAAGGTTGATGAGGAACTTTATAATCAAGTGAGCAGATTAATAACAATCTACTGATCAATTTTAGCATCAATAAAATTGAGATAATCACATAACAAGCCTTATGAAGCAGTCTAATAAAAAGTACACAGCAGCACCACCCATGAAATGTTCTTGCCTAAAAATTAAATCTGAATTTAATCATGGCTTCAAGATCTAACTACCATTTACAAAAAAGAGGACTAGAGAATAAGTTAAGTTCATTATAGGGAAGTATTCAGTCAAATCTATAACACAGAAGATTTCACAGGACTTGTCCTGGTCCAATGTCACAAGGTTTCACCAACAAATTAAAGGCATTAATAAAAAAGAGGAAAAGTGTTATACCGTAAATGAAACTTAGGGAAAATCACAGACAAATGCAATGTCTAGACCTTATTTGAATCCTCAATTGAATAAAAACATCTTAAATAATAAGGGAAATTTGTTCATGGGCTATTAGATGAGAGAAATTACTAATTTTGTCATGTGTGAAAATGGTATGGTTGTAGTATTTATTTTAAATGTGCTTAACATTCAGAAATGCATACTAAAATTTTCAGGTAAAATAAAATGATATCTTGAGTTTTCTTTAAAATAATCTAGGGGGAAAAGCAGGTGGAAGAAACAGATTAAAGAAGATTGACAAAATGCTGATAATTATTAACACTGAGTAATAGATACATAGGAGTTTGTATTAGTCCATTCTCTCAGTGCTATAAAGAAATACCTGAAACTAGGTAATTTCTAAAGAAAAGTGGTGTTTAATTAGCTCACAGTTCTGCAGGCTGTACAGGAAGCATGGTGCTGGCATCTGCTCAGCTTCTGGGGAGCCCACAGGAAACCTACAATCATGGTGTAAAGCAAAGGGGGAGCCAGCATTTCACATGACCAGAGCTGGAGGAAGAGAAAGAGGGAGGAGGTGTTACACACTTAAACAACCAGATCACTTACTCACTATTAGGAGAACAGCACTGAGGGGATGCTAATCCATTCATGAGAACTCCACCTTCAGGATCCAATCACCTCTCACCAGGCCAGCCTCCAATACTGGGAATTATAATTGAACATGAGATTTTGGAGTGGACACAAATCCAAATCATACCAGCATTTCATTGTACTAGTCTTGTTAGTTTTGCAAATGTTTTAATTTTCCAAATAAAAGATTAAAACAGAGACCAAAAGGAGAGGGAGGGGAGCTGTAGCCAGTAACATTTGATTATTATCACAACCCCATTAGCACCCAGATAAGATGAGTCCTAGAGGCATTAGAATTACACATCTATGTGTCACACTTAGATGTGGATTTCCAAAAACTTGAACATTATAAAATACATTCTGAACTGAAAGTGTTCTGAACAGAAATCAATCCTTCCTTTGGCATTCAGAAATTACTTTATTTATTTATTCAACAAATATTTGCTGAGCACCTACTACATACTCAACACTGTTGCAGGAGTGAATGAAAAAGACAAAAAATTCAGTTCTCTAGAAAATTATATTCTAGTGGGGGAAGAAAAGCAATCAAAGAGGTACTATGTTAGATGGTGATTTGATGCCAAGGGGAAAAAAAACTAAGCAGAAAAGAGAAACAGAGTGTGAGTAATGATAAGTTTGCAATTTTAAATTGGATGACCAGGGAAGGCCTTACTGAGAGAATGTTGTTAGAGACAAGACCTCTTCCAGTAAGAGGGTAAAAGCAAGTGCCAGAATTTTTAAAAATTACCATTAAATATTTTAAGGGATTATAATGAATATCAATATTATAACAGTAAGTCAAGAGGTGCTAATAGTGAATTTCAGTTGCTAGAATGACAGATAAAGTAATTTTTCAGCTTCTTAATCACTGCTATTTGCCTTCCCTCTTCCAAACCTATGCTTCATCTTCTTTACTTTGATATTTATTTCCTAAGAATACTAAAGCTGTTACTATCAAAACAAACTGATCACAAGGCTTTGTTTTTCTTAAAAAAAAAAAAAAAATCGGTGACAATCATCATCTCTTAAATAACTATTGCATGGCTAGCACCCCAGCTGACATTGTCTAAACCCTGGAAATTTCTTACTGCTTTAAGTGAGTAAATAAACCACTACAGTCTGATACTGCTTTCCATTATCTGCTGAACCTAGAAAACCTGGCTAACATTCTTGAGTCTTTCTTCTCCCTTACTTCCAAAATATAATCAATCCTATTAATACTGCCTGTTTCAGTTATCTATCATGGGAAACAAACCATGACATATCTTAACGGCCTAAAACATTTATTTTATTGACAAATTTTAATCTGAGCAGGGCTTGCCTATGCTTCTCCTAGTGACAGCTATGTCAGCTCAAAGTGTGGGGCAGAAATCATCTAAAAGTTCACTTACCCACATCTAGCAGTAGATAACTTGGTTTTGGCTAGGGCCTTAGGGTGGTCTGCCTCTACATGTAGCCTCTCCAATGTGGCTTGGACTTCCTTCCAACATGGTGGCTTGAAGATTGAGCACCCCAAAAGAGAAAGTGGAGTGGAAGCTGTATTACTTTCATGACCTTGCTTCAGAAGTCATGCAGAATCACCTCTACCACATTTTATTCATTAGAACCAAGTCACAGACACTAGCTCATATTTCAAGGGAGACAAATTAGAATCTGCCTCTTGATGGCATGTGACCAAAAATTTGTGGATATGTTTTAAAACTCACAATATACCCTGTAGCCATGAGCTGTTTACATTCCTCCCATGTACAAAACAGAGACAGTCTTCCTGCAAAGCCCCCTTCCTTGAAACTTTCATCTATTTAGAACATCAAGTCCAAAGAGCTTGTCATCTAAGTTAGGTACAGACAAGTTATCTGTTCACATGTACCTAGAATACAACATAGGTAAAATAAAGGGCAGGCAATAGTACCATTCAAAAAAAAAAAAAAAAAAAAAAAAAGAAAGGAAAAATCAGAGGAACAAAGCAGCCAGCAATTCTGAAATCAAATGAGGCACATGTTGTCACTATTTTTGTTTGTTTTTTGTTTTTGAGATGGAGTCTCCCTCTGTCACCCATGCTGGAGTGTGGTGACACGATCTCAGCTCACTGCAATCTCCACCTCTTCGGTTCAAGAGATTATCCTGCCTCAGCCTCCTGAGTAGCTGGGATTACAGACACATGCCACCATGCCTGGCTAATTTTTGTATTTTTAGTAGACACGAGGTTTCACCATGTTGGCCAGGCTGCTCTTGAATTCCTCACATCAGGTGATCTACCTGCCTCAGCTTCCCAAAATGCTGGGATTACAGGTATGAGCCACTGCGCCCTGCCCACATGTACTGCCTGGGATTACCTTTTGGTTCCCCTAATTGAGCTTTTGATTTCACTCTCTGAATTTCTTTCCTTTTCCATAAAATACAGCCCATGTTTGCCAAGTATTTTCCTTTCGGCTTCCTGTCCATGGAAGTTCAAGGTTTCAAAGGCCTCTCTTCATTTTTATTCCTTTTTCATAACAACTTCACATACCATTAATTCAATCATTTAAAGTATACAACTTAATGGTCCTTAGGATATTCACCAACTTGTGTAACTACTACCATAATCCATTTTAGAATACTTTCATCACCCCCAAAAGAAAGCCTGAAGACTTTAACAATCACCTTCCATTCCTTTCATCCACCCTAACCCTAGGCAACCATAAATCTACTTTTATCTGTATTCTGGGCATTTTATGTAGATGAAATTATATAACATGTGGACTTTTGTGACTGACTTACTTTACTTAGCATGTTTTCAAGGCTGACATGCTTTGGATCTATGACCCCACCCAAACTTCATATCAAATTATAATCGCAGTGTTGGAGGTGGGACCTGGTGAGAAGTGATTGGATCATGGGGGCAGATTTCCTTCTTGGTACTGTGTCCGCATGAAAGTGAGTTCTTGTGAGATCTGGTTGTTTAAAAGCGGTGACACCTCCCCCCACTCCCTCCTGCTCCAGCCATGTGAAGTGTGCCTTGCTCCCCTTTTACCTTGCACCATGACTGGAAGCTTCCTGAAACCTCTGCAGAAGCAGAAGCTGCTATGCTTCCTTTACAACCTGCAGAACTCTGAGCCAATTAAACTTCTTTTCTTTATAAATTACCTAGTATCAGGTATTTTTTTTAATAGCACTGCAAAAACAGACGAATACAAAGGCTTATCCATGTTACAGCATGTATTAGCACTCCATTTATTTTTATTGTCAAATAATATTCCATTGTATGAATACATCAGTTTACATTTTCACTCATCAGCTGACGGCCACTTACATTGTTTCTACTTTTTGGTTATTACAAATAATGCTGCTATAAACATTTGTGTACAATTTTTTTAGGTGGACATGTTTTCATTCTCTTGGGTATATACTTCAGGGTGGAATTGCTGGGTCATATGGTACCTCTACATTAAGTCCTTTGAGGCACTGCCAGACTGTTTTCCTTGGTGGCTGCACCATTTTACATTCCTACTAACAGTGCATGAAGGTTTATCTTTACATTCTATTGTCCTTTTCAATCCAACCTGATGCAAATCCTTTTACTTCCTGGGTTTCTTTTAAAAGTTTGTAACTCACTCCATCAGACAAAAACCACACCCACAAATCTCTTTCCGATGACCCACCTCTACCTTGGGTTCCCATGTGAAACTGCTATGAGACACTATATTTAAGATTTTTAGGATGGACGCGGTGGCTTACGCCTGTAATCCCAGCACTTTGGGAGGCCGAGGCGGGTGGATCACAAGGTCAAGAGATCGAGACCATCCTGGCCAACATGGTGAAACCCCGTCTCTACTAAAACTACAAAAAATTAGTTGGGCATGGTGGCGCTTGCCTGTAATCCCAGCTACTCAGGAGGCTGAGGCAGGAGAACTGCCTGAACCCAGGAGGCGGAGGTTGCGGTGAGCCGAGATCGCGCCATTGCACTCCAGCCTGGGTAACAAGAGCGAAACTCCGTCTCAAAAAAAAAGAAAGATTTTTAGAGTCCCTATTGTTTGTTGATAAGACAGCATATTTAACCCTCCTGAGTTCTTAACAAAGCCTTTTATAGCCATGCCTTTTCATCTTCATCATTTTACTGAGAGCTCTCTGGATTTGCTCTGTCTGGAACAAACTAGTTAATTTTGGCATCATTCACTGTCTGTAGAGGTTAGTAATGAAAAGAAGTTTTATTTTTCAAACCCAAAAAGTTGTGACTCCTTTATATTGAACAATTTTTTCTCTTGCTTGCCTTTCTCTTTTTGTCTTTTGCTATAAGGCTAGAAGAATTCAGATAGTACCTTCGACATTGCCTAGAAATCTCCTTACTGAGATCATCCAGTTGAGCTATACTTATTTTCCACTGTTTCATGGAAAATAAATTTCCAGCATTGCTAAAATTTCTGCTACGATGTCACAAGAGTCACCTTTCTTTCAGCTTCCAATAATATCTCTCACCTTGTTTAAACCCTCACCAATAGCCTCCTGAAGTGACATAGGCTCCCATTAACAGTCTCTTCAAGGCCCTTCTAACTTACACTCAAGCTCAGTTCCAAAGCTCCTACTGGATGACTTAGTAGGAGCAAACTGTGTATCAAGATTTAATTAAAAAAAAATACAAATGATTAGAAATTGTATAGAATATGGGTTTTATTATAGGAATTTTACCTTATATAACTATGAGAGCTTGTTAAGCCTGCTATATATGATTGTTACTTTTGTGCCTATTGTTATGACTTCCCTAAGATCCAGAGAAGGTGAAGGAGAATATCTAGAAGTGACAGTACACTAAGTGGCAAAGGGCCTGATCTGTTGGTTCATGGAAGATTCCCTGCTATTGATTGCTGGGTCCAGTCATAATTGGATTAAAAAGAGTTAACCAGATGATGAAGTAAATGTGAAGTGGAAAAGCATTTAAATAAAAGCATGAAGAAAAAGTTCAGGGGCATGAAACACACAGGACCATG